CCCATGTTGAATGACTTTGGATAGATCTCTCGACGTGATAGCCTCTGATTGATCGAGCTTGAATATATTTATCGACGTGATAGCCTCTGATTGATCGCTTTGAGGGAATGCCCCAGATTTGGCTGAGCTTGGAGAGATCGATTCTCGACTTGATTGCCCCAGATTGGCAGTTTTAAGGGAATGCCCCAGATTGATGGAATCTGCTAGCTTTATCCCTGAAGGGTACTCAAGCTGTGAAGCACCAAGATGATTTCTCTTGACAGAATCTCTGGTTTAACATGCCTCTGGATTAGTCATTTCTCTTGTAGCAGCTGACTCTTGCTTCAACAGGGTATTCAAGCCTCTCTTTTCTGACAAGATTGAGCTCTTCACCGATTGTTCATTATGCAAACTTACTTGATGTCGATCAGTTGTTTTGTATGCAGAAGAATGTTTATTATGAGAATGATAATTCTAATACAACACATATGTAAGTCTTGAAGTTTGAAAAAAACTTTGAATGAAATAACGTCACAACTCTGTTGTGAACGAGTCACTAGCTAGAGAGAAACATTTGCAAATTCATTTTTATGAAAGATAATGCAAGCATATGATGCCAACACAGATATTCAAACATACCTCTTAGGAGTCAGTTAAACGTTGTCTCGTTGTAGCAAGCTTTCAAATTGACCCATGCTTCAATTAGGACTTTTATGGGTTGTAACGTGGCCTGGTTCACGGTTTTTTAGAAAAAGGATTTAAGGCTCAAAATTATTTGGTGCCCACCCATTCTCCATGATGTTCTCCATTCCTACGTTCAGTTTACCTGGTACAAGCATTCATCTCTCGAGAAGAGTTTGCGATGATTGCGGAACCACTGTGTTTTTTTTTTGGACACGACAGTCACTAACTTCTTTGTCTTTGGTGTCTGATCAGACGACTTTGTTCTTTGATGAGGATTTTCGTTGGTAATCCTTTTCTCGCCTTTTAGGCTTTTCAATTTCTTTCTTGCTTTCCCTAATTTTTGCCTGGACAAATTCTTTTGAATTTCGATTTGGAAGTCCAGCGGGATGCCCCAATTTTTACCTAAGCGACTTGTTTTCAAGCTTCGACTTAGCGGGGATTTTTGTTTCTTTCTTATCCGTATTTTTTTCATTTTGAACAAGTCGTTGATCTTTGCGTTGTTTTTTATTTGTCGGAAGTGATCGTGACTGCCCGAGTCTTTAGTATCGTCATTTGTTGACCTCCTGATGTGCGAGAGATACCCATTGGGATATAGTCAATAGACGCACATTGTTGTTAGATGAGGATTAACCATTGTGGTTTTGACTTTTCTCAATCTTTTGATGGATAACCATTTTTGTATCCTTGGATGCACAATCTTGATGAGTTCTGAATGCTTGAACAGATTAGCTGAACACTACCCGCCCCAAAGTTAAAATGAGGGTTTTCTCTGAATAGAACGGAAACTCCTACTTCGAAGGCTCAGAGGGGTTGACGAGGGTCTATCTCCCTTATATCTCCGGTGTTTGGGGATTGAAACAAGGCATGTACATCGTCAGCAGGGTCCTACTCAAAAGCATACCAACCAGAGATTTGGCGTTTTCAGATTGTCACCATCCTCCTTTGAATCTTTACCTAAGCATAAGACTAGGAAATCTGGCATCAATATGCAAGTAAAACATTTAAAGAGTGGTAACGAATGGATGAGTAAAAATGAAAGGAACACTTCAAGACAAGCATACTCATTGCATTAAGATTTTCGTTCAAAAATAGACAAGTTTCTATATACAAGCAATGTTTAAACAAACAAGCAAGAATGCAAATGAAAATGCAGTAAAGAAACCAATGATCGCCACGTATGGACTTGCTAATTCTGGCGACTTTCCGTAGTCTTGATGCTCGAGTGTGCGAGAGAATTCCCCTTTTGATCTGATGTGAACACATTAGTCTCTGGATTGAGCCTGTCTTGGACATTGTCTTTGGATGACATACCATCTTCAATCGATTGGCCAGGTGCCCCAGTATAATATGCATCACCAAGCATATCATGTCTTAAAGAAATAATAGACATCATCATCAGAGTTTCCATGACCTGGCTTATCTGAGTATTTAATCCATTATCTTCCTGCTTGAAGAAGTTTCTGACTATGAGCCAAAGCTTGCATGTACCACTCAGAGTTATTCCATAACTGATCTCTGAGCATGTGTGGAGAGAAATCAGGTTGAACCTTTGAAGAGAACCCCAGGTCTGAATAAGAATCCCCAATCTTCGGGTACCTGTCATGAATGCATGAATATGCATGGGGTGCATGAATGAATGCCATGTCATGTTCTGTCATTTCCAAGGAATTTGCGTGTTTTGATTTTGATTTTACGCAAGTAAGGGATGGAAGAGTTTAGCACAAGGCTTGCGAATATGATTCCTTGGAAATAATAGAACATGTATGTTAGGCATGTGGTTAGCCATGTTATGTATGCAAAGGCATGAGATCAAAGAGGATCAAGGTCTCATCATTTCTGAATATGATTGCTGTACTATTCTGAACCATGTGAGTGTCATCAGATCAAAGGTCTGGCACAACTTCTGCATATATAAGAACTAAGTACCATGTGGATCTCCCATTGTACGGGGTCAAGGCTTCTGGAACATCGGATACTGTTGAGCATTTTCTGAATATGCTGGGGATACCAAGATTGAAGGCTTGAATGAACCTCCAGGTAAACAAGTCAGGAACTCAGAAAATAAATCTGAGAACCGTACGGTCACCAACAGGATATAGCATCTGCATAAAGTCATAACAGAAATCCAGAATATAGCCATCAGAACCAGTAGTCATTGTCTGAGCAAAGTTACCATCTGAACACGAGTAACCATATGCACATAGTCACCACCTGTACCTGTGATAGAAATTCCCTCCCCACTCACGGGTGAAAACTAGATCAGGGTAAGATAATGGTAACTCGAAAGTCACGGGTTCGCCTGAAAGTGCTATGGGCTTGCCCACAGACGTGGGTGCCGATAGTAATTCATTTGAACCTCATCCGAGCGTGGTATATGACATGACTGCACTAATCGGACCACATCCTATAGCCGTCATGCCCCCACTCTATTCCTAGTGTCCTAGTGCACTATGGCCTGGGTATTGGGCCTTTTACCTCAATAGTGACATCCCCACCCAACATAGAGAACAGAGTCCAGCATAATAGATAACAAATATGGAAAGCCATAAAATGCAATGCAAACTTATGCTCAGATAAACATGTACAAATGAGTAAACTGAAAGCATAAAAATAAACACCCTAAGGAAAGAAAACAAGAGCTAGGAGCGACTCCGGGATGGACCAGCATTTGGTCGACTTATTCCCCAGTGAAGTCGCCAGCTGAAACAACCGGCCAAAAATCATCAAAACAATGAAGTCGCCGTCGAACGTCTTTTATCCCACATGTAGGGAAAGGTAAACATCGAGAAAAACTGAGAAGGGAGAAGTCACGGCCTTGCGATCGAGAGATCGGGTAAGGGAGTCTGTTACGCGAGGGGAAGCTATTAGCACCCCACACGCCCGTAGTACTCTACGGTATCCACTCTTGTTGTCTATCTTATGGGTGTGTTTAATATATGCTTACTGTCTATTATACTATTGGAGGGAAAATGCATGCAAAAGAAATGGGAAAGAATGTAGGGAAAATAAAATTGTGCTCGCTTGGGCCCTACCCCAATGCCTACGTATCCTTTTTGGGGAATCAGAGCTACCGTAGTTCGGCTCATATGTTTTTGTTTGTTTGTGTTTTTTTATGGACGAAGTTAATTCCGCCTTCTGCCGCAGCTCGACCTTTGGAGACTTATGCGTTGGCACAGAAGTAAATTAATCGTGTCCTTACCTGAAAAGGGTTTTTCTGAAAAGTTCTTGAGCGCAAAAAATGGTTTGAATTTGGTTTGTATTTTCGTTGCAGATAGCGACTAGTCGACCTCAAGAGAGAGATATTAGCCATTCTTCTACTTAGTCATGAAAGGAGTCTTTAAGAATTGAACCACACCTATGCTTGAGATGAAGAACGATAAGATCGAGAAGAGACCCGCTTATCATTGCCCGTACTAAGCAAACGCATGATTCTCATCAGTAGATTTAAGGTGTTTTGAATTTTGAAAGAAAAAAAAAGTTTTAGTTTTAGGTGCGTATGCAAAAGGAGGAAAAGTTAAAAGGAGACTAGCCTATTTTTAAACCTAATGTTATCGTGTATTGTTAGACCTACAGTTTGGATGAAAGAGGGAATTTCTACCTAATGTTAGCATGCATATGGTTTGCGATAAAGTGCCGAAATGAAGAATAAAATAGGGTTGTGACGATACCGAACAGAGAAGGTCCGTTGCCTCTTCAAAATTGTGCAAGCGGTAAGAAAATTCTATCAAAGTTCCCTTGGGCGAGTGATTGAAGAATTAACCCCGAGCATTCCACATTGCAAGAGTTATATCAATGCTATCACAAAAATCTTGACTAAAAAAGGCAATAAAAATGATTACCAAATATGAAAAATAAAATAGTAAAAAAATCTAATCGAAATTCTAAAAATAAATTCTAAAGAAATCTAAAATATTCTATTGTTTTGTATCATTTTATTATCAATTGAGATCATGAAAAAAGGAAGCTAAAAATAACATAAAAAAGTAAGAGTAGTAAAACAGAGGGGGTGTATTGTTGAATCCTGGAGGTATGCTGCAGCAAGAATTAGAATGCCACTAAGCCCATTCTGAACGAGTCCATTAGCCCTTTTTTTGTTCAATTCAAGCTTCCAAAAATCTTGCAGTATGGGCTTGAGAAGAATGAATTTCGGTCCAGCCTGATGACTATCAACAACAATTTAAGCTTATGTTTTTTGTTTTTGTTTTTAATTATTTTTTACTAGAAATAAATAACTAATAAAATAAAGAAGAAGAAAAAAAGAAAAAAAAAGGAAAATTGAAAGGGAATTAGAACATGAGTTTAGGGTTAGAGGAGTTGTCCTCTTCGTCTCCCTCACGATGCTTGAACGGCGCCGCCCCTTTTCGCCGTCTTCTTCTTCGCCTCAACCTTTCAACTCCGACGACCTCCGTCTCCCTCAATCTATATCTCCGCTTCGATGGAACTCCACATCTCCACCTCGCAACACACCGCAGCGGCTTCCTCACCATTCTCCTCCTCTTCTTCCGTCGTTTACCTCTTTACTCTCAGAATCGGAGCTAGCTGAACCGGAATCGGTTTCCTGACCACCTGATGTGGCGATTCTAAACCCATCAATGTTATTGAGCTTTAAGCCACTCCAAAGATTGAATCTTCCGAAATCTTTCAGTAAATTGGTGTCTCTAAGAACCCTAACGGGTGATGAATTGGGAGCGACACGACGGTTACGCCAGTGGTGGAAATTGGATTTCAGGGAATGAGAGTGAAGGTAGATTTTTGAAGGAGTAGGTAATAATCCAACGCTGGCATCGAAATTGAAAGATAGAAAATTGGATTTTTGTTGTTTGCTTTGATTTGCAACGCTTCTGCCTCTTCACTTTGCAAACTCAACTTCCGATATATTCTCCGGACACGAATCTTCCTCTATTTCACTTTCGGATTCTTCAGACCCTCAGGTTTGACTCAGTCCTTCCAGATATTCTCCTCTTCCTCTTTGATTCACTTTCTGAGTTATTGTGTTGAGCTTGTTACAGATTCAAAAGTTGCACGATTAGAGCGTTCTTGGAAGATGCAGGTGGAAGCCGGTGTTGTCACGGTTTGTTACCGCATAGAAAAGGAGATCGAAGTGATGGTGATAGAGGAGTAATGACGGTGTAACGCTGATGAAGGGAGATACAACGTTAATGATGATGAAGAATCCAGTGACGGTTGCAAGTTGCAGATTCCAAAAGCAGAGATAAAGATTGAATACTGTTGACAGTGATGGAGCAGAATGATGTTGATGATGACTGTTGCAGATTGAAATTGTCGGGAAAAGAAAAGGATGAAGCAACAGTGCGGTTATATAGGGAGATGATGATCGTGCAGGGAGGATTTGAAGTTGCAAAGAAGAGTAAGAATCGTAAAGAAATTACAGAAGATGATGTAGCAATATTGATGATTATGCGATTTCAGAGAGAATTGGAAGGTGAGTTTTTTCTATATTTTTCCTCTGTGTGAATGAATGATCAATCGTGAATCACCTCTCTCTTTTTCTGATTGATAATCTCCCTGTTATATAGATATTCTATAGAATTGGTTAGTAGTTATGGAATTCTGTTTGGCAGTTAGAGAGTGGTTATTTGTAAATCTGTTAGGTGGTTAGGAGAATTCTGTTTTGGATATGTGTGATCGGTGGAAATAGAACTGACTGTTTTGAAATGCGGGTTCGTGAAATGTCGCGGTAAGCAAGAGTCGCCACCGTCTTTTATTTTCTCCAACAAGGAAAGGACAAAAGCACAGCAAAATTCCTTTTCGAGATATTTCTCAGGTTCGGGAGGTAGATTATAGAAAGGGAATGTGTTAGCACCCTTTCTATCTGTGGTTATCCACGGGCTCTTAGGTACTTTCTCACTATGTTTTCAAAAAATGTTTGCTTTTCTTGTGTTTGTGGGTTTGAAAAAAGTTTGTTTAAAAACTTCGTTTTGACTCTTGTATCAGTCCTCAAGAGTGTATGAAGTATTGTTTGAAAACTTTTGTTTGAAAGTGTAATTGCGAAAAGTTATTTTGTTTTGAAAGAGCAAGTACCTTAGAACCTCTACCTACTCAAAGGAATTAAGTTGTGTAAGAGTCCTTTAGACAGTACTATCCCACTATTGAGAAGTAGGTAGCACCGTCGTTGGAGTTATTCGGGTCAATTCGATTATATGGGACATGTGTGGTCACCAAAGCAATAGTAGGACGCCTTAGCGGTAACCCTAATGTCCTAGATCCTTTTTTATCTGAGGCAACCGTTTCGAGGCAACTTGGATCTTTAGACAGGAGGGCGACCTCTAAAACACCCTATACTCAATGACCACGTCGAGGCAACCAAGTGAGGCGTACCCTAGGAGTGCCATGTGCGAGTGTGTCAGGTTTCATGTTAAATTATCTTTGCACATTTTTATGGTGAGCTACGGATTGATTTTAATTTTCAGGAAAGTCTTGTCATGCATAGCAGTTAATAGTTGTGCGGAAAGTAAATTGTGGAAAGTAAATCTACGCTATTACAAGGCGTCGGGTATTTACATCGCCAAAAGCAACCCTTGAAAAGTAAATGCGAGAAAAATAAAGAAAGCGATAAAAAGTCCTAATTAACGCTATTACATCCTCGGAGCAATTACATAAATATAATCAAAAATAATATGCGCGAAAAGAAATTGAATCGGGGAAGTCCTTAGGGTTTTGACCCTTTTTTGAGAAAGAATGGAATTTTGGTCCTTTTGCATTAAATTAAATTAATCCTAAAGCTAATTAATTAAATAATTAAAAGAAATATTTTTTAAGTTTTTTAATGTTTTTCATGGGATAAAAGAAAAGAAATTAAAATAGTCAAGAAAACCCTAATTCTAGGTTAATTTTATTTATTATGAAAAAAAGTCAAAGTTAACCTAATTAACTAAATTGATTACATTAGAATTTATTTACAAAAAATAAAGTGAAATTAATAAATAATAATAATTATTATATTTACATTTTTTGGTTTCCTGAATTTATTATGAAAATAATAATTATGTTAATTAAATAATAGTAATAATAATAATGAATAAAAGAAAATAAAAAGGAAAAAGAATAAAAGAATAAAAAAGAAAACCAGGGGGGTGTTGGCCCATTTAGGAGGTTAGAAAGCAATTCTGGCCCATTAAGTTGTAAGCCTGTTTGACTTTGATGATTGGCTAGACGTTTGTTGACTGAGAGTACCATAGTCTTTCATCTCATGGCCATTGGATTTGAGGGTGGAGACACATGGCGTTTGGATGTTGGGAGCGCATGGTAGGATGTATCCTGGAAAGCTGCACCTGAATACGCATAAGAAAATAATAACAAGGATTGTGGGGGACCTGGGATTCGAACCCAGGTCCCAAAGGATAATGCCTTAATGCCCTTGCCAACTGGACTGGAGTGCGCGCCTGTTAAGTGGATAGAGAGATAGTATTATATATCAAGAATAAACAATATACTGAAAACACAAAAACGCGCGTTTATTTTCAAACTGGCCAATGAAACGTGAACACGTCCTCGTCTTCTTCCTTCGTTCCTGCAAATATAACGTTAGATAGCGGAGGTTTTTAACCCCCACAAAACATGATGACCAAAAATAGCGATTAGCAGCATGATGAACATAAATATTTCGCGATGGATGGGTTAAATTCGTCTGGTTCTCAGGATTACAACCATATGCCTCATGAATCTTAATTTTACTTGGTTTACAAAGCCCCAACTCCAGAACTCGAAAACCCTAGAATTCGTTCATGGTATCTTTGAATTTAGGACGTTTTAATCCAATTAACCTATGCCAAAAGCTTCGTATGGTCCCTATTAACACAAAACAACCAATAAAATATGTCAAATGCACATGAATAATGAGTTGCAATTCTGGAAAAGATGTTCAAACCGTGAAACTGTTTCCTTGGATTCCTTGAGCTTTAGCGTGTGAATTTAATTGCTACACGTTCCTCACACTCCCAGCAACGTGTTTGAATCCACAAATTGCTTTGAATCGTGCTAGAATGCAGAAAACAGTTTTGACTTTTCTTGGATTTTTTTGAATGTGGTTATGGCTTTCTTGCAGCAAATTCACGTGTGCATGAATATGGTTTGATTGTGTATTTATAGAGGAATGAAACTAGGTTAAATCTTTGCCACGAAATCCATGGAATTGATGTTTGTATATTTGATTGAAAATCAAATATTTTTGAATCTTTTTGATTGAAGAAACTTGCTAAATTTGGAGATTCTTGTCCCTTTGATTTGCATATGAATTTTCCAGCTTGATTAGGTCATTCTTGCTTCACAAAAAGATTGAAAAACCATATCTTTGAATTTCCTACAATTTAAATTAATTAAATGAATTAAAATCAATTAAAAATCCAATTAATTAATAAAAAATAAGAAAATAAATCCAAATAATCTCAATGGGTCGTGCATAAGCTTTGAATAAAGTTTAAAGAAGGAATTTGAGGCCCATTAGCAAAAACAAGGTGTTTTGGGCAAAGTTGACTTTTGCAAATTCATAAAAATTTCCCAACTTCTCCAATGCATATCTTGCTCAATTTTGATCCTATGAACATGTTCTTGGACATTTTGGAAAGGTCTTGAAGTCCTCTAACCAATGCATTTGGTCCCATGTCATTTGGATTTACCAATCTCAAGTTATGGTCTTTGACTTAAAGTGCATTTTGTTGACTTTTGAAATTGACCTATAATGTAGAAATTGATAACTTTTTGTGAGAGCATTTCTTGGACTTGGAATGTTAAGATGAGTTGTAGTAAATGTCATCCCCTTAAAAATGAGCATTGGATGGGATTTTTCTGATGAACCATGAAAAAGTTATTCCCTAGTCAAGATACAGTTGACTTTTCTACTGTCCAAAAATAGTAACTTTTTGCATCCTTGATGATTTTTGAGCCATGCTTGTGGAATCATGATCAAGACTTGATCAAATGATGATTGTGTACTCAAAATAAGATGTCGACCAAAAATTCTGACTTTTGACTGCAAAATGACCATTTTACCCCTGCAGTTGACTGTGGATCAAATAGGGCTTTTGACTGTGGAAATTGACACTGTGAGTCTTGAGACTTGGCATGTATATGCTTGAGAATGTGTATAGGCACATGAGACTTGATTGAGCCCTTGAAACCCCCAAATTCCTTGAGAGAAACAAAATCCTAATTTTGACTGGCTTAGGAGGCATTTGGACTGTGCAACCCTTGAGAAATCTTGAAGAATATGGGAGGGAAAATTTTGGGGTACAACAGTTGCCCCTGTTCAATCTTCTTAAACCTGAGGATGTAGATTGGCTTGCGTTCCTTTCGTGATCCGAAGGTGGAAGATGATTGAACACTAAAGTGCCCAGAAATTTACACTCGCATAGTGTGGTATCAGCAGTGTGATGGCGGGAATGGGCTTATAGATGCCATTTAGAGATATGATGGATAGGAGTGGAGATGGGCTTAAAGATGCCATCTGGAGATTGTTTGTTGAATTGTAACTTGGGTGACAAAATGACATCCGAATCTGGATCGTATCTGAATTGTATTTGAAATTGAGATTTGTATGAGTAGC